TCACAATCATATCCTACTAAAATTATAAATAATTGAATTGAGGCGTATGGCATTTGTAATGACGTGCGAGGCAAAAATTATCACATGCTTCAATTGTATTTCAGTATAATTTTCGGTCGAAAACCGCAAATACTAATTATGCCGCGTTTGTAAACTTATTAGTACGCACTAAAATGAATAGTGGCGTAACCACTGTTTGGGGTCTTTGGGCCTCTTTGATGTGGTTGCATTGAATACAATAAGTATCTACAATATATTATTCACCCATTAAAGTGGTTTATCTATACAGCCTTTCCATAGTAAGATTTAATGTTATTAACGAAAGAATGTTTGCATATTGCATTCATGGAATTTAATATCAATATTATATTTTCATTCATTACTATTTGATAGAATTGTTAAAGAAAACTGTGTATTATCTAAATAATTAGAAATATATGATTTTAATATCTAACGTGATAATTTTTTGTAGAAAGTAATAATAAGTAAGGATGGCGTTCGTTTTTGCAGTTTATACTTTAACCAGCTGTTACCCTAACCTTTTTGTATAAATAAGAATGGATATCGACATTTCAGCGAAGGCTTTATTGAACTCTTTAAATTTATTTTAATGTTTTATTTACTGTTATGTACAGCATAGCTTAACTCCATTGACTACAATTACTTAGGTTTAAAGAAGCTTATTGTCATTAAAACATACATGTCACTTACATGAGAAAAAAATAATAATATTAAGAGCAAAAAAAGTTTTAATTGCTTTCACTAAAAATACTTTTAACTAAAGTTAAATGTTTCACAAAATAAACGTTATCTAAATAAGTAATGTAATTGAAGCTTTTAAGCATTAAATGAAGCTAGGATTTTCGTAAATATTTCCTTCAATATGAGAACGATTCTATTTCACGAGGAATACGAAAATCGCGTTCGTTACAATACTAAAGAGAAACATTTTAAATAATAAAGTACCAGATAAAACTTCTAAATTACATCCAAATCACTGTCACTAAGGGTAAACTTGAAAGTCATTCGAACAGTTCAAGATCCGTGCAAATAGTAGTCATCAATCGAAGAGGCTTTCTGTCACAGACGAGGGACAAAGGCTCTTTAGTTTTATATATATATTAGTATAAAGAAGGGTTATTGCTAATGCTATTATTAGAAGAAATCATACAACTATTATAACAACAACATTGTATCATGCATTGACATATTATATATATTTGGCATATCTTTCCACCCTTAGAATGCTGCATAATCCCTGAGTAACATAGACTATATTGAATTCCAAAATATTTTAAAAAATAAAAGTCCTGCAAATAGGCCGGTAGTTCATTATATTTATTACCATTAAATGATAGGTAATTTATTATTGTATTGGTTTTGGGATTTAAGATATATAAAACTCTTTATAAATATTATTTGTTGGTCTTAATATTATATAGTAACAAAATAATTGTAATTAAGATTCAATTCTACTACTACGTACTATATAACTTTCTATAGCGATCCTGACTATAATGAACTATATTGCTGTTTTTTAATTGTCAACTTTTATACGTATGAATGGAATGTTATTATGTTATACGATATATATAAAAATATAAAAGGATGTACATATCATGTCTGAATAGAACTACTAATATGGTACAAAATTATATATATGTCATTTTGTTTGCAATAGAATTGATAACTATTTTTTGTGTAACTCTGACTAGCTAGCTTAAACTCACTAGAGCGTAATATGTTTACTTAGTACGCAGGTGCACTACATAAATTTGAATAAGAAACTCACAAACCAGTAAATTCAATACATACAAAGATCTTTACAAGTGCTTAGCATACATAGACCTGCGCATAGAACAAATTAGAGTGGTAAATTGACCTTCAGTTTCGAATATACATCTTAGTGATTTTTCTTCACTCCCTTCCTCCCTAGTTTGGTTAATAAAACCAAATATTTCATCCGTAACGTACCTATAATATTGTAAGATTTTCGAGGTCCTGGGTTCGATTCTCAGAGATTGCTTTCCAATTGAGATTTTTATTTGCCTATCAAAATATTACGTGCACCTCAAAGACTTCACTTGTTTTAGTTTCCAGTGTTTCCATTTCCTAGTAATTCTCAAACTATAATCTAGCCTTATCTTAATTGCTAAAATATGTTTTTCAGAAAAAGTAATAAATAAATTCATCATAATATTATGTTATTACACTGAATCAAGTTTGTTCTATAATAATTATTATTGTAGTAGGTGGGTTTGTTTGCCTGAAGTTTATTAATGATAACATAGGTAGACATCCTTCGGGTAAGAATAACAAGAAAGTCAAAACATTTGGTTAAATTTTATTATGAACAACAGCTTCTTTGGAAACATAACTTTAACTTATGTTATATTTATTATTAAGATCACTCAATTCAGATTAATCGAAAGTCATAAATAGTTTTAAAGCCATTATGAATTTTACCAATAATTGTAGTACACAAATCGTAACATTTATCCGTTTTTGTTAATTCAATTATTTTAACGCATATAATATAGCTAAATGTATCATTACAAGTACATCATACAATCTATTCGAATCAGGTTGATCTTGTCATTGTCATTATTCACACATTTTCCTGTTGTCCCTAACAGGAAGTTGGGTCCCCGTAATTGTCTTTCAAGCCAAGTTTTATACATGACGAGGTCGTTTTGTGGGTGTAGATTTGCATTTAAATTGAGGGTGCCATTGAACATTATTAAAATCTCTTCTTATTTTTAACGATAACAACAAACTTCCATGTTGACAGTTCTTAAATTGTATTAATTTGATTATGTTTTTATAATTTTGACGGCTCATTGGTCTAGTGGTTATTACCCCTGACTGCGAATCCATGGGTCCAGGGTTCGATCCCCGGCTGAGACAAACATCGATGTGATGAGCATTTGGTGTTGCTCTTGGGTCTTGGGTGTTTAAATACCCATTTATATATCTTTCTATAATATGTATGTATATCCGTTGCCTCTGGCCCATAACACAAGCTTCACCAGCTTAGCATGGGACTAGGTCAATTGCTGTGAATTGTCCAATAAATTAAAAAAAAAATAATTAAGGCGCACGACTTTCAATTCTGATCTTTCATTCAATCATTTGACTTATGTTGCAGTAGGTGAAACTCAAAAATGTGAGAAAACCCTGTTGTCTAAAACCATCCATATCAGATCACCAACGCCTATGAATGATTCCTTGATCGATATTTATTATTAGACAAGTTCAAGTTTCTTTAAAATTCTTCTGTCTCTTACTATGTCTTATGTGATTTAAAAAATATTTATACACCTTAATATTAAATTAAATTTTAAATACTTACCGCATTTTCTGTGTGAAGTACAAGCTTTAGCTTAGCGTTGCGCCTGCAACGCCGGGAAGCTAGAGAGTGTGTCGTCAGCCTTTAAGCATATGGAACACCTTCCACGAATGCCCCAAAGTGTTATTCCTTTGTTCTACTGGCAGTTTAGTTAGTTCAAGAAGAATACAAGGCGGTTGATGCAAATCTGTACTGTTCCTTAAATATACATAAAAAAATCACAATTGGAGGATGGTCAAATAAAAAACAGTAAAAACTTTTGAATTTTGCACACTTATAAAATGTCATGGACATTATTACATATTATGTTAGTGAAATAAATAGCTCTTTCGAGGTTAGCACTTGTTTGTAGAAACGTTTACTAGTGCAAGGTAAACTTGATCGTTGGATTCAGCCTAGGTGTTCACTTTGTAATGCTAATAGTCTGAGGGAACTTCCCAGTGTTGTTTGCATTATGAATAAACCGCAAATGGTAGAATTTGTGTATGTTACAACTGTTTGAGAAGTGCCGAGTCAATCATATAGCATATCTATTACAGACATCGATTGGTTTTAAGTAAACTTCAACCATATATTTTCTTAATCATAACTATGTGCTTTTTGTGAGAAACTTTTGTTTGTGATAACGTTAACATTGGAATCAATCTTTAAGAAAGTAAAGAATGCCAAATTAAATGAAAATGTAAGAGTTCTTTGAATGTTAGAAAGAGGCAAATTAAATTTGTCAGTTTTAAAAGTTAGTTCACGATGGACTGTGTTAATTCGACAGCATCATTTTTCCCGTTTCTTCCCGCCTTCGCTTCCGTAATTATTTTGGGATTGGATTAGCACCTACTTATCAATAAAGAAAAAGATTACAGGACATAGCCTTATTGTTCACATCATGCCAATTGGTAGCTTTAAAATTCAGACTTACGATTATGATATCATATTTTGTTTGAGTCATTATAAAACTTTAAAAAAAGGCTTGGGAATTTTTATTTACCTTAGTTAAGTTTAGTTTAGTTTCTAAACAATACAATAAAAGAGGCATTTAATTGCAAGACCGTTGTAAAAATTCCATCAGACTTTTGTTGTGTTTGACTTTGTTTTGTTGTCAAAACCTAAAAATATTACTACTTCTATTATGTAGCTGGCCCAACAATGCTGGCCTCACAGTATACAATTTTTATTAAGTTAAACTATGTATTACTCGTTTATTAGTATATTAAGGAATGCACTTTGAAATCTTTCTACTAAATGTGACTCTTCCTACCAGTTACATAATCTGATTCTCCTGATTCATACTGAGTCTAAATGAAGATGACAGAATTGTAGAATTAGGTACATGTATCCCACTATGTAGTCATACTAAAGTGCCGCACCATATGATTGGATTGTTTCATCTTATAACAGTGAAATGGAACTCTCAACCCTTTTCAATTCCTAGAATCTTTTGAGTGTAGGCACATCCTAGAGCATGTAATAATCTTCGTAATCTCCAATAATCGTTACCACGTTAAAATAAGGGGGCTGAATAATTAAGGGAGACGAAAGTCCATAAAATAAAAAGTCTGCAAAGCGTCAATCTCAATTGTATTCGAAATTCATGTCTATGTCTATAACTTTGGTTTTATGATCTTAATTTGAAGACTGCTTATAAGTAATAAGTTTAGACGTAAATTTCAATTTGATAATTAAGACCCGAGCCTCGTTCACTCTTCAATCTTATGTTGGCGTACGATAGTCCCACTCCTCCCGCAGTGACCGTCGCACTGGCGTCGGTATGATCCAAATCCCGTGCTATGATGCCCTGAAACCAATATTTAATTTAAAATGAATGTGATTACTACTAAGTTTTAACTGAAATTTTTGTATTGAAAATAAAGTGTGATTCATACAAGGCCCTTTAAACTTAGCTAAAACTAAAAAAGTAGGATGGTATGTTGTTCTTTCTAAAACCTTTGCTTGGTATATGTATATTCCTGTTTTGGTAACGATTTGTTTCAATTAAGATTCAAAGAAAATGCAGTCATTTTACAGTTTGGCATTCTAATAAACAATAAACTACAAGCGCCCTCCTTATCAGAATGCCATATCGTAAAATGACTGCTTCACGACTGATTTGAGCGCGACCGCCGCTGCGAAAACCGCTGTGCGAGTTCGAAAAGTGAGTGACAGAATCGCAAGGCTGTTCTTCTTACCCGCTCTACGCCCTTGACTTGCGAACTGGTAGTAAATGTAAATTTACAATTAATTTAACTTCTTTTTGACGATTCATAAGTGTACTTGTTTACCTATATGAATAAAGATATTTTGAGTTTGAGTTAAGGTATAATAACAAGCAGACAAACTCGTTAGGACCTTATGTTGGGGCTCTAGATGGATAGGTGTGTGAAAAGATTCATCCGTAGATTACGTCATGTAACTAAACAGAGATTACGTGTCCCACAGTTCAATGTTGTTGTGAGGTCAGTCTTAACTGCTTGAACAGCTTCACCTATACACTTCATTTACAACAATCACTTGAGCCTTTGTTCGGAGTAGGCATAACCAAATTAAGCCCTTCAAGGGGACATGGGCTCATTTCTATATGTTTCAATTCTTAACATGCAAGTATGTGATCAGACAAATAACCAAAGTCCAGACCTGATTAATAACTTCCGTTTGTCGACGATTTAGTGAATTTGATATTCGGGATGATTGCACTGACGTGTTTAAAACATGCCTTAATATAATTCCACTAACATTAATTATTCGTGATGTTTGTTGAGGCAGACGACAAACATTTGAGAACCACACAACAATTTGAACATTACATTTTACATTAATGATTCCTATATACTGCTGCTGTGTGATATTTATCATGCTCATTCATATGATGACTATGAAATGAAGATATGGAAGTTATGTCATTATAAATCTATGAATGAAAGGTGAGCTGTGAAGATCTTGTGAAATTCCAATTTTGAAATATAATTTAGGCGTTTGGTAAATTTATAAATGGTTAATTAATGTTATGTAAGGAATAAAATATACTTAAAATTACCAAAACATATTCCATTTTAAAATATGCACGAGTATTTCGGTGGGTACTGTATCTAAAAATATACCTTATGATAAGGAAGTACGAATCCAATTACTACACAATAATATTATGAACTATATTTTGTATACTTTCGCATATCACAAATCATTCCCCACTGTATAGCTCTTTGATCAAACATCCTTACGATGATTCAACGTAATAAAATATTGAAACGTTAACTGGCATTTTATCGTGAATCTGTATTTTTGCATGGTTTTTGTGTGACGATTTAGTATTTAAATTACTTAAAACTTTAAAGTTTTTGTTATTAAAAAAATCTATAAGTAAATATTGCATCCAGATTCCTAGATCATAAAATTGTAGTTAGTGATAAAATCGTGATTTTCCTTCACGCTAAGGGAGCACTTTAAATCAATTAAGAATTAGTAAGTAGACTATTTAGATATTGTCAACTGAGATTTGTATATGAATCAAAGTGAATTTAAATGAATACATAGTATGAATTCAAAGAATATATGAGGAAAATTGAGCTTGTTGTCAAGAAATTTGCCTTACACTTTATTTAAATTATTAAAAATAAATATTTTGGAAATAACGATAGCAAATATCTAAGAAGCACAAACAGATAAACACACAATGATAACCTTTCACATATTTTGTTTTATTTTTACTGATTTTAGTTATAATTAATTTAAAGTAGATTTTCGAGGTTGTATAACCTACCGCTATCGTAATATTTGGCCTTGGTTGCTAAACAAAGCGAGGACCTTCTTTCAATCGAATTACGCCAATATAATGGAAAGTTACAAAAAGGTTTGCTTTAGCCTATGTTGCTTTATAATTAAATTAACTCAAATTGAGTTTTGGAATATATATCATCAAGTACTTGATGGTTTTAATTACGGCGAGCAAAAGTACCGCTATAGTTTATTATATTATGCTTGAAAACTGTCCACGGAAAGATTTTCGGTAGATACCTAGCAAACACTTGAGAAACTTGGTATCGAAAACTGAAGGCGAAATATTAATTAAGTTAAATTTGTAAACATGTTTTCGCGCTTTAGATTTTATTGACAATATGTAAAATTCAAATTAAGAACGTCTTTTCCTCTCTTTAATAGATGAAGAGTGTTTTATATGTTTTTAAGATAAGGAAAGTTGTAACTCCCGATAGGTATGCGACAAGTAGAAACTATATATTTATTATTGCAGTTGGAAGAAACCAATATTTCCTTGATCCTGTGTTACAAAATGCTATAAAACTTTATATTCGTCGTCTAATTAACCAGTAACTATTACTATTAAACTGTTAAGTCGTAATACTGCAGGTGCAGTTTAGATTGGTTTAGTAAAACACATGCATACCTATGCATGTGTTTTACTAAACCAATCTTGCTTAATAAACAATAGTACGCCAACGTAAAATATTACGAAACATGTGAATCATGACATCATATTTATTAATATAAAAAATAACCTTAATAATCTGTTGCCCTGGATCCGAGAAGAAAACCTCCTTGACCCTCTTTTTGAGAGGTATGGAATTGTATTCAGCCTTCTCTTGCCAAAGAAGTCTTGCGTTGAAGCTAGTTCCGACTATAAGGTCCTTACAGTAACTTGCAGAAATGAATGATACAAGTACAATGAACAATATCGTAATGGCCCTCATTTTATTAACGTAACGTATGTCCGAGTTGAATCACGTATGCAATATAACTGACTGGGACTGGTCTTGTGGTCACTACTTGTTTACCTTTGTGTATGGAGTAACCGGAAAAACTTATCAAATTGATTAAACGCGTCGATGTATATAACTGTTTTTCTTTTTTATTGCTGAATTATTAATACTCATTATCTCGTGTTAACTATAGGTAATACAAGATATGAATCATGTTTTATTCTAATAACAAAGGACGGAATGAGGAAAATTCTAGATATGTACATTGTACAAGTTACAATAAAAAGAAGTAACAACAAAACCCCCGATAAAATGTATGTATACGTAGTTTTTTATGTTGATGATTTATGTCATTAAAAATGACCTATAAAACGATAACGTGTTTATAATAATAGATAAGCTTTTGCGTTATGTGTGTCAATCTCGGGTTTTATTATTTTTTAATAATACGGTTGTTTGTATCGGTAATTGCCTTTATATAGCACGGTTAATTATTTAAAAATTCACGGTTAAAAATTCACGTTCATTTTGATTTCTAATAAGTATCATTATTTACACACATTTTTGAAAAAAAAAAATTGTCCACACGAACCCGGGACCCATGGACTAGGGTACTAACAACTAGACCAATGAGCCGAATGAGAATTATATCAGGAACATTCATAATAATTGTTATAAATTTTTAAAACGTTATTTCTGTTAGAATTTAATCTTAATCTGCGTAAAAGTCCGCTGTCAGGGACTTACATTTCTGGCTAGTACAACACAGATGTGGGTTAAAATCTGAAATCATTGACACTAATAAAATATTCAAAGTACGGCCACGATACTAGAATAATCCCATTTACTTCCAAATATAGCGGCGAGATCCAAAATTAATCACATTTGCCGACTCGAGGATGAACTTAATGTGAATATTAACGTATCTGTGGCGAAATTCTTTGTAACGCGTCTTTTCCTCCCAGGATCCCTGAGCATAATTTATTTCCTGTAAAAGAGTAAAGTATGCCGTCGAAGCCAAGCGCGTTTGTACACATTAACGCGGTATAGCTCATGAAAAATCGCTTAGGAAGAGGCAGCGAACAGTTTGCGGGGCGCATATAATGTTGAAGCTATTTATTCACTTTTTGTGTTCCGCAGTAAGACGGCCACATTTAGGTCGTTCGATTTTAAAATAACCAGCCTTTTAACCTGCGACGCGATAAAGGAATTTTCTTTGTTCCCTGTTTAGTTGTAATCAAAGCTCATTCTACATTTACATCAATTAGCTTGTTCCATTGTTAAATGAGCCCAACTTCATATCATAATTTAAATCCTTCTCAAGCTGTATTTAACGTGTTCACTTGTTCGAAGGTTGACTATTAAAATTCAAAATTTCACCGCCAATCAAACAAATGTGTTTAAATAATAAAATGGTTTCTTTCCTCTGTCTTATATTGTACATATAAACATAGAAATTTGTGATAATATTTGTCAGGGCGGTACTGACAATCACCCGACCCGTAAAAACTCTACTAAAAATATTATAGTTCCGTTTTACCTAAAGTATTGGTCTCCTTCCATTATGCTGTGGCGTAAATGAAGAAATCAGTAGTTTTGATTTAGTATTTATGAAGAAGTCAGATACAAATGTGTATTATAAAGATTTATATTATATTAAATATTGTCCGTAAAATATTATATTAGGTTAAATACCTTGAAAAAGTTATAATTTGAAGTCAATATTCATAACTATATGAACGGTTAATTTTCTCCAGAATTTAAGATATTTAGATTAGTATGACAGCTATAATTGTAATAAATGGAAAACACATTTTGCGGAAGAGTATCCGACTATCTGTGGATTCATCAAAATAAAGTTACACGGTAATACGTTCTTTATTTAGGACAATATATCAAATGTAATTTTGTATTTACAATATACCTATATGTTATAAAATACGTATGATACAAAGGCCTTTGTTGTCAGACGGTGACTAAGCTGTATATTATCTAAATATCTATTACACTGATGTTACAGTTTTATTTATTATAGTCACATATTATTATTTGTTTGTCAATAAAAGTTCGTTCCTTCACTTGGTGGTCCGAGTAATGACAATTCTCTATGTTCAACTACCCGCAAGCCCAGGCCATGAAAAAGAAACCTAGGAAGACCAAAAAGCGATGGGCTATCGACATCGTAAAGGTTTCTAGGGAGAAATGGACGTAGGAAGCAAAAACAAATCCAAATTGAAAGTTCAGGACTTTACCCAAACAGAGTCCATAATGCAAAATCCGAAGTAATAGAAATAACAACAACTAACGTAGACTAAGTGTATAAGAACAAAATTAACACCGATGTCATTTGTAATTTCTATAGTATGGAATTAAAGTAGCTTTATTATTACTATTATTATCATGTTAAACATTTTTTTAAATTTTATTAATGTATTATTTCCCAAGATCTCATAGATTACCTTTGATAATAATCAATCATTTTTAACAAGATCATATTCGATAAGCACTAAGCTCTAACCTTTGTAATAAGTAATTAATGAAGGAACTTTGTTACCAAGTCAATAAGATTATAATGAATCGTGGTTGATCGATTCGTACCTAATCATAAAACATCTCTAAAGACTCCATAAACGCCTATTGTAAGAGTAAAAGCAAATTGTAATATATTTTGCTCCAAGTTTATTGTTAGGCTCGATAGGGTGTGCCTCAATCAAGTACTTACTACAATACTAATGAGTCAATTCTTGAAATAGATTTGCTTTTACAGAGACAGCAGGCTGATGTCAAGTCATAAAGCCGCCCACAACCAGCCATAGTATTTAATGTACCTTTCTGGTCTTTTGAGAAACGGGTTTTGCATTAAATTTCTAATACCGTATATACGATAGTAAAATTCTTTATTTCACCTCCTTACTTTACTATTCTCTCTTAAGAAGCCTTATTATATAATTATACATATTGTCGATAGGCAGTTCAGCCACGCGAATATAACTCAAATAATCACGTATACAGTGATATAGAATAGTTAGATATTATTAACTTGATTAAATCATAAATAATATTGAGCATATTATTCTGTTAGCGTAACATCAAAATTAATTACACAGGATGACGAAACTTCATTCTCCACGAACTATAAGGATACTCTATAGATATTGAGGCCCACATTTGTAATTAAATACCTTGACAACATTCTTTCATTTGAGATCGTGAGGGTCCGGGATCAAATCCCGGGCGCATACCGGTTTTAAATGACGTCATTGTGCTAAAAGCTTTAATTTTTTAATAGTAGTTGTGGATAGGAAGTTGTTGCAGAAATATATTACTATATTGTAAAGAGGAAAGATTTGTTTGTAACGACAACACAGCACAGATTTGGCAATGCCGAAACAAGGCATTTTCGATAACTAAGCAAATAAAACCTACGGGATTGATTACCCAGATGTTGACAGGTCATGGTAGATTCTTGTCGTATCTTTACAGGTTCAGGGTTTTGACAAAGAGAGGATCCAGTATGATGGCTGGCTGGCCCGTACCTGCTCCTTCCCGTGCTCTAGCAAGGGCGAACCTAGTTTCGCCAAAGATCCACAGAACTCCAACGTCATCGTCAGTCGCGAAACGCTGACTGCAGGCAGTCCAAAATGGCACTGCCAGTAGTAAAGCCGCGAGTAATAAAGCGACCTCAACAGAATAAATCTAAAAATAATGATATCCCTATCAATTATGGGCCACTGTATCCTTAAATATATGTTTTAATTTAATTTAAGTGATGTGTATGTGAGTAAAATTTAGTATGTCATATTTACTTGTATTTTTTAAGCATGCATATTGTTTTGAACTTATAAATATACTATGGATTGAGTAATCAAGTGATCTAGTTTTTAAGTAATCTGATTTCTAAGAATTAAGGCCTCCAGTAGTTTGTGTGTTTACATTTATTCACATAATCTGTAGTTCAATTGGTATCTCGAAAATTATAATGGAATACCTAAAATCTATATTCCTACTTATTTAAGTACTATACCTAAATAGAATTTGCCCTACTACGACAGAATCCTGTAAAAAATACAAAGCAGCACGCTGATTATTATAACATTATAATATTTCAGGCCTAAAACAACATAATTTGTCGTCTAATAGTAGCAATAATGTCCTCGATTTAATTTTAAGTAATGTTTCCATCGACAGTTCGACAACTGATATGGCGGTAGTTAAACCACACATATATCATCCTTGCTTAAAGATCGATGCTACTACTAAACTAAGTCAAGTTCTATGTAAAACCATCCCAAAAGCACAAATAAAATATAACTTTCGTCGTGCTAACTACGAGGATATTAATAAAGCGTTGTCGAATATTGATTGGGTAAAAGTTTTAATTGGAGGTACTATTGATGAAGTGACAGGTAATTTCTACGTAATATTAGATTAAATAATTTCAAGTTCTGTCCCTAAAAGCCACGGCTTGGAATGGATTGGAAGAAGTAAATTCCCTATTTGGTACTCAAGCTCTTTGATACATATAATAAAAGATAAATTAAAAGCTCACAAGCGTTGGAAAACTTATAGGAATCCAAGAGACTATGATGAATTTTCGCTGTTACGCGCTAGGCAAAAACTTGTATCCAAGAAGTGCTTTGATATGTATGAGAAGAGTATCCAAAATAATTTGAGTAAGGATCCCAAAGCGCTGCCTGTGGTCACATCTGAGAAACAAACGCCAATGTAGCCCAGGCTACCCTAACACAATGATTCTCGGAGATGAAGTATACTATACAGAAGCAGACGCTTGCGAAGGGTTCAACAGGTTTTTTAAAAGTGTTTTTCAACACCCAGATGATAGTTACAATCTTCAACACCTACCTGAATCCGATGATACATGCAACCAAGTAGTACTGACCGAGGATGAAGTCTGTAGAGAGTTGAAATCTTTAAATATTAATAAAGGTTCAGGGAGTGAGGATTCCCTCACCCTTCACCCTTCAATTTTTTTCCAAAAATGCTATAGACAACTCTCTTAACCCTTGACAAATATATTTAATCAGTCGCTTAATGTATTGTGTAGTTTCCCATCCAAATGGAAAGAAGCCCACATTGTTCCGATCCACAAAAAAGGGTCTAGAAATAAAATAGAACATTATCGACCAATTTCAATTCTAAATTCGTTTGGTAAATTATTTGAAAAATTAGTTAACAAAACGTTGAGTCCTCTTATCCTAAGACAATTACCACAGCAGCAACATAGTTTTACAAAAAATCGTTCAACTGTCAGCAACCTTACCGTTTTCACCGAGTACATATTAAAGGGAATGGACGAAGGAGAACAAATTGATGCGATCTATACGGATTTAGAAAAAGCTTTCGATCGAGTTGATCATGTCATTCTCCTACATAAGCTATTAGCGCTAGGAATCCGTGGGGATATATGGATCAAATCCTATGTAACTAATAGAAGGCAGGCGGTAGTAACGGGTGGACATAGGAGCACATTTATTAATGTGACATCTGGTGTACCTCAAGGGTCTATACTGGGTCCGTTGTTGTTCAATGCTTATCTTTATGATATAAAGAGTTGTTTCAAGTATTCAGAATATCTTACGTTTGCAGATGACAAAAAATATTTCTAAAAATTAAATCTATAGATAACTGTGTTCAACTTCAACAGGATCTTAGTAGATTGGAAATTTACTACAAAAAAAATAAACTATCCTTAAATATTGGAAAATGTAGTAAAATTACTTTTACTCGCAAACATAAGAAAATACAATTTTGTTATAATATAAGAGATACAACAATTAAACAGGTGAATTTGGGTTAGAGACTTGGGGATACTATTAGATGATAAGATGTCTTTCTCAGAACATATAGATAATATAACAGAAAAAGCATATAAACAACTTGGATTCGTCAAACGAGTATGCAAATCTTTCAAGAATATAAAATGCCTGTACTTTGCTTTTGTTAGGAGTACTCTAGAATATGCATGCACTGTTTGGTCCCCAACCTACAAGAAATACATTGAAGCAATGAAGAACATTCAAATAAAGTTTCTTAAGTTTTAAGGATTTCCGAAAGTATAGTAGCTGTATAGATTCCTGCAAGTACTTTGGTATTGAATCATTAGAATGTCGCCGTAAACAATACGACCTTATGTTTTTACACGCTATTTGCAATGGTTTAATTGACTGTCCTGACTTATTGTCGCTTTTACTTTTTCACGCCCCTTCTTCACACAATACAAGGCAAACCCAACTATTTAAAATTCCTCGGTCTAATACAAACTATTTACGTAACTCAGTCATGTATCGTATACCTTCAGATTATAACAGAAAATACCATTAATAGATATATTTAATGTATCTAAAAAATGCTTAAGAAATTATATAAAAACTCTAGTATCCTTTATTAGATAGAATGGCTTTGTTATTCCTCATGAACTATGAATCTTAGAATTTTATTATAAATACATATATTCTTTATATTTTTTTTTGTATTTTTATAGGTGTAACTGTGCTTTGTGTGTGTTTAAATGTGTATTCCGTTTTTGGCTTGTGTGTAGTGTAATTTTTTGAATATTGTATAGTACTCGTAAGTAGCTGTAGGAATACCGTTAAGCAAATAAATAAATTATTATGATTATTATAACATGTCTTAAATTTCTTATAAAAAAGTTACAATGTAACAATAGTTTATTATTGTCTTATTACAACTTATCGTTATCAAATGGATTGTAAAAATATATAACATATATACCATTATATAATCTTATATTGTATGTATGCATGATATGTTTTATGTCACAGTATTTATGGCCAGACTAGTTACATAGTGCGCAATTTGAAAATGCAAAGCAATCCGTTTACTGAACTGATACACAGCTAAGAGAAATCGTAATTAATGATTGTAACACTAACGCTGGGAATTTCATTTGCAGAAATCGCTTTAAGCGTTTCATTCATTCTATTATATATTACGAATTATTCCAATGTATTATATTACTTTTAGTCTGTGATTGCAAATAAATAAGTTATGTACAGACTCAATATCCACGAACCGAACTATTAGCATAAAAAGTTCCACAAATAATATAAATCAGCTTCAAAAAGTACCTTATAAACCATTTGAGGTGGCTGATCGGAGATTTTTCAATTGTCTTAAGTGATGACACACCCGTTTTGTAATGGGCTATTTGACGGTATGAATAATAAAATGTTATTGTGAGTAATCCGTATAAAACATGGCTTTAAAAAGTGTTTCTTTAATTTTACTTACTACTTTAAAATTCGATAAATTTAAATTATCAATTAGTATACGTCAGTCACGTGAAAAAAAAACCGTCACAGATGAGTTTTTTTTTATAGAACGGGGCAAACGGGCATCACCTGATGTTAAGTGATACCGCCGCCCATGGACACTCTCAATTCCAAAGGGGTCGCGAGAGCGTTGCCGGCCTTTTAAGAATTGGTACGCTCTTTTCTTGAAGGACCCTAAGTCGAATTGGTTCGGAAATACTACTGGCCAGCTGGTTCCACAAAGTGGTGGTGCGCGGCAAAAACTGCCTTGAAAAACGCTCAGTTGTGGAACGGCGGACGTCGAGGTGATACGGGTGGAATTTCGTATTCTGCCTCGACGTCCGATGATGAAACTCAGCTGCAGGTATTAATCCGAACAACTCCTCTAAACACTCTCCATGGTAAATGCGGTAAAAGATCCAGAGTGACCCCACATCTCTACGCAGTCATTAAGCGTCGTCGTCCGCGCTGTCGTACCGTACCAGTAAATAATATGTCTTCGCCTGTCTAATCCTCATACTACCATGGAGTTTAATTCCGTTATGGACTGTTTTAGATCGTAAAATAATATGTGTATTTGAGTAATTTAGTAATGATAATTGACACGTATAAACCTTGATGTTTACGTGTAACTGGCATTGTACGTCGTAGGGACTGATGCGTCACCATCTTGTCTAAAGAAGCGCTTGGCGGGTTCTTGAACTTATGAATGTTTAATTTGAATGTTAAAGCTAATACGTAACAGAATTTAAAAAGATATAATTGTATAGGTTCCATATTCACTAATTAAAAATCTGATGTGGTTATATCAAATAGCCGCGAGTTATCAGAATATTTTCTTATGTCTTACACGCCTTTCGTGTCTTTCTGTTAGCGTGTAAGTAAGTATATCAGCTGGTAACATTTTATAAGCAGCATAAACATTTAGTTTCCACGATGCATGTAAAATTCACTATAAATTTATTAATCTATTTTGGCCATGTGGAAATCTGTAACTGTGTTAACTGAAATTTGCATAAAGCTTATCTTGTCACATAACCTCGCAGCACGTTGGTGGAGCTTTAATTGCATTTTGGTTGAGAGGCGTCTGGGCTACGAATTTTACTCCCAAACACATCATTTTCTCTCTCTCTGGTCATTTGTGAAATACATATGTATAAATTATTTTCATCAGTCGAGAGTAGATGTGTTTTATGTATGAATTATTTGATTACAAAGAGTCTACATTCCTTCAACATTATGTAATATACTGTGGAGTACCACCATTCAAGATCTTAGCGTTACTAACTAGATCAAAGAGTTGCATTTGCTTTGTATCGTAGATTTCTCTAAAACGGGCATTGGAGTGCCATTATTTTCTAATATACGACACACTATGGTAGCGTTGGTCTGTGGTTAACCACATACCAAAATATATTTTATAGATTACGGGCTTTATTTAGTTTCATCTTTCTTACAAAAACATCTTAAGGCGTTCAGACCCTGTCCATGCACCATAGCCATGTTAATTAATACCATTATTGCACTAACCTGAATCGTTACTAACCCATTTGACGTAATATGAATCTGTGGTTTAAATAAAAAAGGCTAATTATTTCTAAAGTTTAATTTTTTTCTGATATATTATCCACCTTCCTCATGAATCACTCTATTAGGGAAAATCGCTGGAAGGTCTGTGCAGTAGTTTGTTGTAGCGTGGCGGAGGATGGGTTTTACAAAAATTAGTAATACCCTTAACTTCAATGCGTGAAAGATATATTATGTATGTATGTGTATGCACGTATGTAGACAAATAGAAATAAGTTTGTCGATGTCAAAGAAATTAGCTGTCACAACACACTACTACTACTGTTATCAGCGATGACACTGCCGGATTTTTGGAGGTGCGTGTAAAGATGCGTCCACATCTGGCGAATGCGCAGCGAATGTGCAGCTCGCGAACTAAGACGTTCATATTTATCACAACAAAGGCGACATATCAAGCTTAATATAAAATTCTAACATGAATTTTAGCATTAAATGCAGAAACAAAGTTCAATTTAAGATGAATCAGAGAGCAAGGATCAATTAAAGACCAGCAATATTCATATAAAAATAAAAATACGGAAAACTCATTTAATCTAAGGAAACATTTAAGAATCAACTATTGCGAAGTTTTGCTAAAATAATTCAACTTCAATCTAGTGTAAATAAGATGTTGTAAATTTTATATTTCGGATCCTAAGCGGGATTTCTTTAATTATTAATAATTAATTAATGGATTTTCACATATAGGTGCTATTATTGCTGATAAATTATTTTATTGGAATTTTCGAGAAAATTGACTTAACGTTGACGAGAAAATTGGTGTAAGCTACTATGTCGTACCCATAGAATAGAAACTTTAAAAATCTTGCTTACGCAAACACAAAATAATGGGTACGTTTTCATCGCTACTGTTATACACGTCGAATATCCATATAAAATAAAGTTTGTATTCATTAGGTTTATTAATTATAAATTAGGTCTTTTAGGGAAAATTATGTCCTATGTCAAGCAGAGATTCAATGTAAAAATTATAACTGAACAACGTTTAGTGAAGTTTCCATTTTATCAAAGTTAATATTGAACAGCGTAAGTATTTTAATTACGCAATTGCGTTTACGTCATAATCAATTGTAATTACGTCATTGTTTAGGTCTTTCTTGCTTTTGAATAATTTTATAAATCCTAAGTGCCGCGAGTTATGTAACCTAAGATTAGTTAAGTTGCACATATGTATTTTAGTTAATAATTAGAGCGCAAATGTTAACAATAATCTCATCTTACACTTGAAGCCAAAATGAGCCCTTTAGTTTTTCCCACACTCATAAATAGTAATATAACGTTCTCGTTTCCGATAATGTCTAATAGATCGAGTACACTTATATTCTTTATAGGTAACATAAGTGTCACTTACATTTAAGAATCCTTCAATAAGTCTAGTTTTTTGTTAGTCTAGCGTTGCAAGCCCTTAATTTTACGTTAGTTATAAGCTCATGTTTTAAACGATTAAAGCCAGTTGTATTGACACCGAGTTTCAAACAAATAATTTCATTTAACATATATTTGAACATCCCTACAACAACCGCCACCGAACTTAACTAGCGTCCCATACCATTTTAGCGGCGGTAACCTCGCCTAGGCGTCAGTGCGTATCTTTGGTGATAATACGACTGTGAGCTGGTTTAAGGTAATTACTTCTTTAAGTTTCTCAACAGTAAAATACAGTAGGGTATATTATTGTTAGGTTGGCATTGCGATATAATGTAATAATATACGTAAGTAATGATATATTAAATTATTATTTTTTAAAT